ACAGGGTCAGTGCTGTAGAAATAACCACTTTGTCACTGTGCTGGCTTATCCATTATCCTGACTCTCTCCCTTTCTCTCTGTCTCAGTGCGTCAGGTCTGTTTCCAGCCGCTGTGTCTGAACACAGCCGACGGAGTTAGTAGTGGGAATCAGACAGAACTTGTGCTCAGGGTACACGGTGGAAATACATAAACAACCCTGGAGTAACCCCAAATGCTCCTGAGGTTGTCGGCAACTGTACATGAAGGTGTGAATGTGGATAAAGCAGCTCGACATTTTAAGAAATACATTTGTTTGGTTTCCGAGAAAGACGATCACTCAGAAAATATGGAACTATTACACGTTAAACTTTCTCTCACCCCTCGGTTCTTCCTCTATTCGTTTGCAAAGTGGTTACACTTATTTACTTTTCAATCTGAACTTTATCTTCAGCGGTAAGTACAAACCTGATCTGTGCTTTATACTCATTCACAAGGTAAAAGGCAATTTGGGGTTTCCGTGCCTTGCCCATGGACAGTTCCACATGCGGACCACTGACCATCTGGTTAGTGGACGACCCTCTCTACCTCCTAGACACGTGTCACGTATGTAAGCATGTGTGTAAAGCGCAGAGTCAGAGGTAGTGAGGCATATAATAGCAATAAGTGGTATCCACATCCATTATCTACACTGCATATCCCTTGAGGGCCCCCAGGGGTCGCTGGAGTCGCAGCTGACATTGGGTAAAAGGAGGGGTATCGGCGAGCCAGTCACGCTACAGTCAATTTAGAGTTTTACAATTAACCCCAATCTGCATGTTTTTGAATTGGTATCTTGAGAAAACCCACATAGACACAGGGAGAACATGCAAACTCACAAGAAGACACCAGGGTTCTAACCTTCTTGCTGTGAGGCGACAGCGCTAACCACCCCAACATGCTACCTGGGGAAAATTGCCAATCTATATAGCTGTACATAGGCTTCGACAGAGTTGGGGGCTTGATAGAAGGATGACAGAGGGTGATGAGATGGAGGAAGATGAGCACAAAGACAGAGGAATGATTGTAGGTGATGTAGAAGTAAAGACAGATGAGACAGTTATTCACCTCTGATGAAACGTCTGACAAAAGTGGTAAAAAGATATCGAGTGATATATGGAGCTATAATTGGAGCTTTCTGAGTTTTTTGTTTTTCACTATGTGAATTGAAAAAGAAGTTGGCGGGGATTCAGACGTCTGGAACCATGCAGGATGAAAATATCATTTGGTCTCTAGCTTTGTGGCAATTGATGGACAATCAATGCAAGCACTACAGGCTAAATACCAATGTGGCCCCACTACCTTTGTGCTATTCATCTCCAGTTTTCCTCCATTCTCATGGAGAGTTTACCATATTGAGATCCAGCTGGTGAGGAGAGGAAGTGGATGATGCAGAGATGTGAGTGCTGGATAATGGAGGATACATCACATAAATATTACTCGCTATGTCATAAAAACTGCTTTGGTTATGGAGATAGATTCATACACTTCTCCACCACAGCATTTTCACAGTCTGATTAAAATCACAGAAAGTGCAGTGCAGTAAAATTACAATAAAATATTTTGGTGGTTTTGAAATATATTCGAAAAATGGCTTCGCAAATAGTAGAAGATGTTTTCAACACACTATGAATTAACCTGTTTCATCCACGTTAAAAACAGAAGGAGCTGAGTTTCACAAACATGATGAGGGAAACAGTGAAATAGAAATATGCAATAAAAGGCACAAAAGGTAAAAGAAAAGGTTTTTAGCAAAATCATTAGACAGAATCAGGGGAAATTAAAAGCGAGATTAGAAAGAAATATTTTAAATTAAGATTTGAAATAATCAATAGCAGGGCAAAACCTAATGGGACAGGAGACGATTCCAGAGCTCAGGTGCAGCGGAGGTAACTAACTACTTGTCTGGTCTTATCGACAGTATCTGTATATGTGGGGTTCAACAGCTCGGACACTTTGACATGCAGAGGGGAACAGGCAGAATCAAAACCGCAGACGTTCCTGCTACACCGGCTCTACCTCCTGCGGCACAGCCTCCCTCTTATTGCAGAGTGCTCTACAGAGCTGTGAGCGTGACTTCATTCAGACTGACACCTCAGGATTGGTTTGGAACAGGGCCACAGTCGTCACACTGGGAACTGACATTCATTCTTATCTTTTTTTTTTTTCTAGTTCATCATGCAGAGAAAGCTGGCGGGCGTGAGAAAGACACGATGAGAGAGCGTTTTTTTTTTTTTAACGGAGGAGAACGTCTGGCAACATCTGGTCAAAATAGTATCGTACCCACATGTTTACATCACACAGACAAGCACACAGTTTCATGCAGGATCACAGAAAGGAATACATTGTCAAGCATTCATGTTTAATGAAAGAGCGGCTTCAAGACATACGCACGTCACACTCAATATACGGCGACAAGAGCGACAGCCACCTACACACCGCAGCCTTCAAATGAATTCATGATGAAAGCACAAGGAATTCAGAGGGTCTGCATTTCAGTCTCCAGCACTAGTAATAATAAATACTGTTATTGCAATGACAATAAATAGACTGATTCTCAGAATTTCAGAAAACAAACAGGAGTGAAGCTGTTAAACTTTCAGCCAAAAGCTGATTCGACACACTGTGCGGTCTCTCACCCCGGGATCGAGGCTCATTAAAAATTATACTGAAACTCTCATCGCTGGGGGAAACCGGAGGAAAATGAATATAAGAGTCTTACTTTGGGACCTAAGCTAATTAAAACACGCTGCTACTCTTGTCAGGCGGGGGGTCCAAACAGCGAAAATCAGCCGCTCATCCTGGGACTCCAGCTCATTAAAAACACACTAGCGCTCCTGTCATGAGGGGACTCAAACTGAGTAAAGTATTGTGTGTCAGCCGCAGACCCAGGCTTATTAAAACATACTATTCTTGTTATGTGCAGAATAAAGGCTGCGATCCTGTTTTCTGAGATCCTGCCAACAGTTTAGGAGACACAGCATCGTGGGTGCAGCTGAGCGCAGGTGGACAGGTGTGATGAGGGGAAACAGAGGAGAGACAGATGCGGAGATCTGAATTAAGGGGATGTCTGGAATTGTGTACCCCCAACAGACAGATTTACTAATAACCCACATGCACACTTGCAGACATGCTTCATGCCTCCATATGCTACATCTGCCCACAAGCGCACACGCTCGCAGACATTCACCTTTGGCTGCGGCTGACGTCAGGTAAATGTCAACCAGATAAATCTCAAGGACTAAGAGTTAAATGGAGAATTAAAATCCTGACAAATAGTCAAGAGAGCATTATGCTGAGCTCTCCCAGCGGTGATGACTCAATTTCTGTGCAGCCTTGCTTCAGTTCATGTGTTTTCAACATTATCACATCACTGCCATAATTTCCCCCATTAACTGTTACCATTGTCAGATGAATTGGAAATTCTTCTTCCAATGTGAAGTTAGAGAAGAAACACTTCGGCAATGAGTCCTGAGATTTATATTATACTTCGAATCAAATGTGGGCAGCTTATTATCTGACTCGGGAGACACATTTTCTCTAAAAGAATCAGGCTACTGCAGATCCTGTATGTACATCGTGCTGAAGAACATTACGGGTGGGGACGTCAGTGTGTCGTTCAACTTACTCAAATGATCAGCAACATTAGCCTTCTAACTAGCGTGACTCTGCACCCACCCTGTCTTGCCTTTGCATCAGCTCGGCTGTGAGAGCTCCAGCTCTGGGTACAACTGTGGCTGGAGCCAACGACTCGATCTGAAACAGCTCAGGGCCATGATGGTCCTCCACCACTCTAATGCCCACTACAGGGGATTCTGCAGGGGAAGCTCCTCCACTTCAAAAGAGTCCTCTGTGGCAGAGGTGCCTGGACACTCTGTGTCCCTCTTGATTTTTTTATGGCCCGAGGAGGTAACTGACACTGTCACTCTCACATCCAGCCCCATCTCACTCGCCACCTCAGCCCCCTGCCCAGTTTTTAGCATTTTTCAATGTGATGCAGAGGATGGATTTGACTTCAGAGCTGAGGGAGAAGTTACACTTTAATGGGTTTTAACTGGACTGTGAGGACATATGGTCAAGCTTCATCTGCTTTAACAGAGCAGTATAACAACTCATCAATCCATACATTTTCTTTACCGCTAGTCCTTGAGGGTCGCGGGGGGAGCTGGAGCTAATTCCAGCTGGAATTGGGTGAGAGACAGGGTACACCCGGAATGGGTCACCAGTGTATCACAGAGACATCAAGCATTCAGCCTCATATTCACACCCACGGTCGACTTAGAGTCTCCAATTAACTTAACCCCAATTTGCATGTCTTTGGACTGTGGGATGAGGCCAGAGTACCTTGAGAAAACCTATGCAGACACAGGGAGAACATGCAAACTCCAAATGTTGCAATATTTCAGGGAATTGACTTGAAATAAACTTCAGCCATCATCTCACTAATGTGGCTGAGACTTGCAGCAACAAGGAAATATTTCCTACCAGGCACCAAGCAGCGAGGGTTATTGTTGTTACACCATAGTTTCATATTAACATGGTGCACTGAAGGCAAGTTGTTAATTAATTCATTACAATCACCTGAAGTGTGACTCAAGTACAAGCTCTTAATGGTGGAGTTTTTTTTAGATTTAAAAGAAAACATTGAAACGCTATAACAAATATTCAAAGTGAGTAAATGACCGAGTTCACTTCTATAAACTGTGTTGTTGTTATCACACATGAAAACAGGATCAATAGTGAATCAGGAAAATCTTGTGACGCTGCAGCTGACTGAGATTTTTGCTTACTAAGCCTCAAGTCACAAAAGTAATGTGTGCAATTCTCACATTAAATCCCCACTGGGGAGATTCGATTCACCTCCACATTATGAGACAGAGAGAGAAAAAGATGGAGCCACACAGAACAGACAAAGCCAAAAGCAATGATTGAAAAAGAGGGATAAGTGGAGGGAGGATGGGGACATAAAGAGCGACTGTCTTTACCTTCTGTGTCTTGGCCAAGGCAGGTTGATAGCAGCAGCAGATAAAAGACACCCGTTCCCATTGCACTTGGCCATTTGACCCGCCCCCATGACAGTGGCCCCATTAAGCGCGTTCTAACCATCTTCAGCACCGTGCTTCACCAAGCATCCAGCTGCAGAGAGAGGAGACAGAGCAACACAGGTCAGTCACGATCACTCAACATTGAAAGCAGCAGCACAGAAACATCTGGTGGCTTCGCTCGCTCCTATTTACAAGTAAGTGAAAAAATAAAAAAAATCAAGTACAGTCATTATCAGGTGCTTCCTTTTCAGGCTGTGCCACCTGTGCTCTAGCATTTAGTGAGCAGCGATGTGAAGGCACATCTGCCACAGGAAGAAACTGCAGCAGTTGTATATAGTTGGATGAAGCTGAACTGTGTGCACTCTGCGCCCACCCCATCACTACAGAAGTGAGCTTTGAATGGAAATATGCTTTGAACACTGAGGTGAAATGCTCTCACAACCTATCGCTCAGGAAGCATTTAATATTCATTTTGTTGTTGCTCTTCACTGCTGCTTCATGCTGTGACCTAAAATCCTTGATCAATCAAATGTGCATCAAAGTAAACGAATGTTTCATTGCCACCACGATGGAAAACACAGAAACCTGCAGATGATGATGGAGAAGGAAACATTTTGCCAAACATGTCAGATCTTGCAGAGGAAAATTTGCCTCAGATGACACGTTACACAATTAAACAGAGACACACATGAAGCTGTATGTCTGTTGCTCTGGTTAAGATTTACCACATTTTAGAGGGACAATATGTGCAGCTTTGCTTTGTGGCACAATAAACTGTGGATGGCTGCTTTTTTCAGCACTACTCTGCCTCACGTTCATTCTGCTCCACACTTATGAGACGGACATTATTTATATGACTTCACAGCTGGAAGCTGGAGAGCATAAACGCTCCACAGTGGGGCTGGAGGACTGGACGAATATATCGTCTTTCGGTGATTGGCTGAGTCTGTTGTCGGTTGTTTATTCGGGCAATTTGTCATTTATTTTGCTTATATAATGCTCTCAAGAATTCATTCAACTCTATAAATAATCAACCTAGGAACTGGCACTTATATTATATATTATACATCATATATATACATTCATTAAATCAGTCACTCACTTTCTCCCTCTCTCTCTTTCTGTCTGGCATCAGTTGCATCTGTTAAATGAGGCTGGGTACAACAACATCATTTGGTCGTCACAAAGACAAATGACTTACGTGAGCAGGAAGTGAGATGTGATCACAAGTGGTCACGGGAGACACATTCAGGAAACATGCAGGGTGTGAAGAGACGAACTTCACACTGTCCACTTGTGATCAGATCTCCCAGGACGGATTTTAATACCAGGTCTGAACTATATTATGCACATCTTTGCTGTACCCGTACACAATTTGAATCTTTTCCTGGAACGATATGTTGGCAAAGACAACAATTTACTTCAGCTAATCACAGATTGATTCATTCAATATTGGTCAAGATGAAGCACCGTGGTGTAAAAGTATTTTAACCTCTTTACCACTCAATGGTTATCACATTTTCATAGTGATACAGAAAATAAGTTTCCTTCTACAAAAACAGATTATCCTGAGTAGGATTTAACTGAGACTTTAGTCATTTGAGCTTATTTAGCAAGAACAACATTAACTGCTCCCCGTCATGCAGAATCTCCTGTTTAATTAGGACTGATTTATGAAGTTCCCATGGTGGAAATTACTGTGACAGAGTCAGATTACTATTGCCTTCGCCTCGGAATGGAGATGGAGCCGGCTGACAACGAGAAGTAATTGTGATATTCCAGTAAATCCCAGAGGGGGAATCCAACAGTCACGACAGCTTGAACCCGCAGCTTTCATTTGAAGGACACACAACATCACCGAGCTGCTCTTCACCTCCCTGAATTGAATTTAACATATCAAATTCTGGTGCTTCAGTGTGTCTCTGATGGAGCGCAGGTGTGGCAGACTGTGATCGAGATGTAACAGTGCCAGAAGCAGCCTACAGAGGAAACTGATAACAGCTCAGCTGACATTCGTGTCAAAAGAAGCAGATGGTATTTATTTTTTTATGAAACACACCGGAGAGTAGATGATTATCAATTATACATTTCTACTGTGGATCCCTAATTCTATACCTGCAATGTTAATAGAGTTTAAATTCTGGTCCCAGGACAAATAATCTCTGGTTAGTCAGTTGTGACTAAACTCACGGACACATGAGGGGGAGTTTGCATTATGAGCATTTTTTTGCTGGTGTGTCAACTCATCACCATACAGTTGCCAAACTTCTGCATCGTTTTATATTTTACTTCTTGCATTTTACACCACGCTTGCTTTTTAACTGCAGACCACATAGTTAGCTTGCAGATACCCCAAAGCATAGAGACATATTAACCATAACATTATAGTTGTGATTCCACTAGAAACAAACATGGAAGTCCTTTGTCAAGATTATGTTTGCTCACTTTAAAGGTTCAGTGTGTAGAATTTAGTGATATATAGAGGTGAAGTTGCATGTTGCAGCTGATTGCTCCTCACCTCACCCTGCCCTTCCAAACATGAGAGAGAACCTGTGGTGAACTCCAGTTGTCATAAAAACTCCAACGGTTTTAGTTTGTCCAGTTTGGACAACAGTAAAAAAATGGCAGCCTCCACAGAAAGGACCCCCTTCCATGTAAATATAAAGTTTTAGATATAAAGGGTCCATTCCATGGTAAAGAAAACAACATTTGATACAATTTATATGAAACACACCAGTGAAAACATCACTAGGATAATTTTATATTCAGTTTCTGCCAAAACTTCCTTTCACCTTAATCTTACACACTGGACCTTTAAATTATTTATACTCTGACAATCGTAATTTTGTACGTCATCCAAATTCTAGCACACAGAGAATGTGAATCAAATAAAGACGTTCTTATTCTAAAAGCAAGTGAGACTGAAGAAATGTCTGCTGCTGGTTGTGCCACATTCCTCAAAGTATTCATTGAATCTCGAGGACATAAATAGTATTGGTTGAAAAGGATGAAAAATGAAATCTAAATTTAGCGGAAATACCATCTGTTAAGTGTGTGTCCACCTGGTGAAATACTTTCAACAGTTGCGGACCACAAGAGTGAGACTGCGTATGTGAGTGCACATGTGCACGTTGTTTAATTCCCTGGTTAAGCAGATGACAGCAGACAATGGCACAGGCCCTGCTGTCAGCATCAGTAATGAGGATCAAGTGTATTAGGGCTGAAGGCGCTTCTCATCTGGTGGAACTTCAAAAAGTTTTACTCCTCCAGAGACAAGTGGAAACACAGAGAGAGACGGAGAGCGAACAAGGCTCAGACAAAGGAAAAGAGGAGGAGAGAGTCTGAGCAATGTGGAGACAGAAAGACAACAGACAATAATGGAAAAGAAAGTTGGAGCTAGAAAAGAGGAAGACATATCAAAGACAGAGATTTTGTCCTTGAAATTACTAGAGAGACACAGATTGAGCCCTGTACTTTAGAGTCCGCTGGTTTTATTGTACGTCGACAAACTCAGTGATGTCGAGAACACAGGGCGGAGGAGAAAGTGAGAAGAGGGCTTAGTTAGACCAGGTTTGTATAGAAAGGAGGACAAGATCAAGAGAGAAAAAGATTGAAAAGACTGTGGAAGTCACAAGAGAGAAAACAGATGAAAAGAGAAACTTTGAAAAAGGAGGAAAACAGAGGAGAGGAGATATTGACGGAGACAGTGAGAAATGCTGACGCGCTGTTTTAAGGTGTTCACTTGCTTGTTGTTTGTGATCAGCTCCCTGTCGCCACGTGTGACTGATAGAACCTTGTAACTGTAAGTCAAACACTGCATATGCATGTGTGCAGAAAACGACAACAACTCCAAACATTCCACTTGTACTGTCACAGCTGACATCTGTCTATTTCACTCAGTGTTTGTGTTTTGTCACTGTCTGTCTGCTTTGTAGGACGCCGCCTCTCACAGCTCCTCCGCTGCCAACACAAGACGAGAATCTTGTTTTTTTCCACTCGAGGCGGACGGCTGACAGCCTTATGCAGAGTGACTTACTGTGTGAACTTTATTGTCTGGCTCCAGGGTGTTTTTTACCAGGACATGGAGCAAGTGAACTGTGACTCTCAGGTTACAGGCTAGTGTGTAATGGAGATGCACTGCTGTACCAGAAAGGGCGAAATGTGCAGATTCACAGCACATCTCCCTCCTTTTCCCAGCTCCCGTACACTCTGACTCTGTGAGTAAACACAAGATGAGTGGGCTTTGAAACACAGGATGAGGCGGCGGGTGCCAGGAATTTGTCAAGTCCAGGCAGACAAGTGTCAAGTTAAACATTTTAAATCAGTTTTGTGCACCTTAATGCGATAAACAGCTTGCGTGAAGCCGTCAAACAGAGTAGACGATGCATGTAGGTTAGAGCAAACAGTATTTGAACATGCAGATGCCACTGCACGTCTGCATTTGGAATTATTCGATTATGAGTTCAATTTTGTGTATGAGAGGACGTGAAACTAGATTTGCAACATTAGGTGATTACAGGGACAAAATGTACCTTACTTGGCAGTATGAGACAGACACCGCCACACACACACAGACACACACACACGCATGTTTGTGTTGAACAAGCTGTCCAATAAGCTAATGGTGAGGCCTTGCTGTGCCAATCCCACAGAGTGTCAGCACCTGTGGGTGTGAAGAGGCAGCGTCCTAAAAACCACAATTTCCCTGATTGCACACAAACACCACATGGAGAAAAACAGAGAGACAGAAAAAGAATTTAGTTTAAGCGAGAGATCGGATGTGAGCATAATTTAATTCTTTAATTTTTATTTTTAAAAGCCTGGATATATTAACCTCTCAGCTGCCAACCTTCAGCATGGACTGACCTGATCTCCAGCACCCGATGCGTAATGAATTCCAAACCGTGCATATTGTGCTGGGAGGTTTACAGATGTGCACGCTGACCGTGCTGCCTGCGAAGGCCCCACGCTCAGATCCTAAGAGCGGAAGGAGGAAGCGTGAACTGGAGTGAGCCGTTTGGCCGTCGTCCCAACATGTTGCTTCTCTGATTACACTATCTCAACATTCATTTTCCAGGTTGATCCTCCACC